GCAGTCAGGACCTGTGCTGTGTGGGTTTGTCAGGATAATGTATCATGGTGCTGGAACCTCTACAGCTTGAATGATGATGATTGCTTTAAAGTGTTATCTTTTCATGTGCACAGGAATATCTGGTAGCTGTGACTTCAAATGCTGTTGAGGCACTGCTGTGACGGTGAAGTCTTTGATTTTATTTCTGCTCTTACAAGGTTGAAAACAGTGTGATGTGCTGATGGACCCAAACCCCTTGTTTTCTCAGCCCAGAACTCCAGGTTTACTTTCCCCATTGTGTGGTTTCCCTGATGTAAAATATATGCAGGGATCACCCACGTGATGTGTTTTTGGTGCTTGCAGAGGGAAGTGCAGCATGATATGGTTTTGGTGCTTGCAGAGGGAAGTGCAGCTGTAATGAATAGGGACTGTCCCTTAAGTGCATATTATGGAGCAGGTTTCAAGGCATTCCTAGAACAACTTGTTGCTAATGCATTATTTAACAGCACCTCAATTTAATAGAGCAGAGGAGTCATCCTCCTTCTATGAAAATAAGCAATTCTAAGGAGAAAGAAGAAAGGCTGTGTGGGAGGTGGAGGGAACCATTCCTGTGTGTTGGCCTGGGCTCTGAGGGCTGCTCAGTGATGTACAGCTCTTTATTTAGCTACTCCAGATCAATAATCATGCCCCAGCTGACAAGGCTGGGCCAGCACAGTCCAACAGTCATTGCAGTTATATGAACAAAATCCTTTTGTTACTTTAGTTTATTCAATTTGGTAACTGGTCTGAAGTGCCCTGGGGATTCCCCATAGCACTTACATTCCAGTTAGCCCATTTTCTTGTCATGGAAAGTGAAGTTTTATACCCCAAACTAGAGTTCCTGGTGGTGGTATGGGAGCCCCGAATCAACTTCTACTTCTAGATACTTCTAGACACAAAATTCAGGTTTTTACCCTCTGGTGATTGGAGTAATACCTTTTTTTCAGAGTGAAATTTGGTAGCTGCTAAGCCAGGAATGGTGACTGCAGCTTGTGTTCTGTCAGTGCTGGAGACCTGCAGTGCTGCAGCTTTGTGCTGTGCCACAGAGGACTTAAAAGATGTCTCTCCTAAGTAATTCTTAAGTGAGGATCTCGGGTGACTTCCTGGTGTGCTGCAGGGAGCAGCACTGTTAGGAGCTCAGGTGGCAAAGAGCCTTCCTGCTTAAGTTACTCTGCCAGTCTCACACACAGAGTGCAGGATGGTTTGATGGAACAGCTGATGTAGAGTGAAAACATTTCAGGGGCTAAAGTAAACCATGAAATTGCAGTTCCACTTTTCTCTTTATAGTATTGGGCACGTGGCAAACTGTGCAGGGAAATAAGAGCCAGATTATTAGCCTCGTGGTATTTGCACCAACTCTGTATAAAATAACATGGGAAAACCCCCAAATGACCCATTTGAGTTCTGTCCTGGAGGTTCAATCAGGCTGATTGGATGTTTGCTCCAAGCTGAGGGTGAGGCCCTTGGTTTTCTAAAGTTTGTGACTGAATTATGTTTAAACTATGTGGTCTCTGAAGGCCAAACAGAGTGCAGTTCCTGTGCTCATACCTCCCATGGCTGGGGAAGGGTTGGAGATGGGATGAAGTCTGCCCTGACGTCAGGATCCAGTGTGCTGCTCTGACGTGGGGGAGTTCCTCCCGTGGGCTGGGCCCTTTGTGAGCAGCTGTGAATCATCCCTTCTGCCTTACTGTTAGTTAATGTGACTGTACTGCAGCCCTTCTAGAGGAGGATTGCTCCCAGATAATTCCTTTCTTTGGAGCCCTGGAGCAAGGTGGGGTGTTAAGGTGTAGCTTGTTTGGAGTTAGTGGTGTGAATGTGCTAACAACGGGGTCCTTGTCTGCTCCTTTTCACTCCTTTGTTTCCATGTGAGAACTCAGCAGCTTTTCTTCTCCAAAAGATTGTAATCAAATGTGAGGTAAAGGCTGGGCTGGAGGCTGATAACTGCACCTTCACAGCTACTGTGTAACACACACCCAGGCGTGTGATCCTGCGGCTGGAACCTGCACCCAGGGGCTTGTTCCATGTGTCTTCCCGCTCTGCTGAAAGCTACACGTGCTGCAGAAATTATTTCAAGTCTTTCTTTACACTGTAGGTCAGCAGTATAATGCACAAAACCCCACCAACTTAGGGTTTTGTTTTCTGTTTTTTAATTATTAGCTAATTAGCCTTTTACCTCCTATCCCAGCTGTTCTGGTTTTAGTAACCTGCCTGCTGCTATCCCTGAATTCCTTTGACATCTTTGGCATGTTGTGTGTGCCTGATACAGAGAGCTTGGAATCAGTTTTATCCAGTATTCTGTTTGCTTTGGGTCCTGCCCTTGTCGGGCAGAGCACTAACATTTTATTAGTTACATGTGCTGGAGTTGAACTTGTCTAGTCTACATCAAATTCTTCCTCTTCTTGGCACCCAGTTCAGCCCTGGCCTGGCACCACTGCTAGCCTTGTGTCGTGCAGATGGTTGAGGAGGCTGAGCCTGAGTGGACCTGTGAGCTGGTTTTCTGTTGAATCATTGTATGGACTAAATGCAAATCCTACCCTTGAAATTAGTGATTGAATTTGTTCATATTTTCTGGATATTTTCATATACCCTGGCTAGAACCAGGATTTAAACCACTGTGCAATCAACATCTGAGCCTTGAGCACGAAGCAAACCTGAATGCTCTTAGGGGCAGTGGCTGGTTGTGTCTCTCTAGGGAAAAGCAGAACTGACCCCAGATCAGCTCAGTAAAGCTTTGCTGCACGTGGTTTGTACTGAAGAGCAGCAATGGTTCATTGCAGTCTTCACATCAAAGTGGTGTTTTCATTGCTTGGCCAACAAACGGAGTCTGAACACTGTTCAGTCTGTGTGGGTGAACCTTAGTTGTGTAACAATCTACACATACTGTTCTCAAGTGCACTGGGAGTTCTTTGAAAAGAATTCCAGGTAGGCACATACCACAGGAGGTTAATCACAGTCCTGTTTTGAGCCACCACATCAGCACTGGCTGTGAGCTCTGTCCCTGTGGCACTGAGCCTGTAGTTATCCTTGCACCAGTTTGTCACCTTAATGCTAATAAGCTCCAGTGTTAGGGAATGCTTTGAATTAAATGGAGCAAGGAAACAGCCTTTGCATGCTCGGAAGTATGTGTTTTATCAAGTCAGAAAATAGTTATAACTTTGGGGGGGAAAAACCACCGAATTAACTGACTTTTTTTTTATGTCACTTCGAAATTATTAGTTGTGGGTTTTAGTGCCCTTTTAATTCCTCAGCGTTTCTGGTTGAACATTAATCCTATTGCTTGAGGATGTTACATTTCCATGTGAATGATGTAAGGTATGTTTCATTGCAGTTTGGAGCAGAATTTCGACGGTTTTCCCTGGAGAGGTCCAAACCTGGCAAGTTTGAGGAGTTCTATGGATTGCTGCAGCACGTGCACAAGATCCCCAACGTGGATGTCCTGGTGGGGTACACAGACATTCATGGGGACCTGCTGCCCATCAATAATGATGACAATTACCACAAAGCAGTTTCCACAGCCAATCCTCTGCTCAGGATTTTCATTCAGAGAAAAGGTAAGAGCACTTGAATAATCTGGGAATCATCACCCAGTTATCCCACGCTGCAGTAAACAGTGTGATGGAGGGAGGAAAAAACCTTCAGTCCTCTTTCATCATGCTGAATTCCATCATAATTATGGATCATGACAGGTATTCACAACTTGCTTCTCTTGCAAGAGCTTCCTCAGGCAACCTATTTGTGCTTTGTGTGTTTTTGCTTTTATTCAGTTCAGTTAAAAATCAAGTTAAATCTCTAGCAAATGCTTCTTTCTGGTATGTAAGCAAAGGGAAATGAACTTTAAAGCTCTGCTGCTCTGTAGTTTGGATATTTTTCACTTATCATTCCAACCTTGATCAGACAAGGAGAGGCCATTACAGGATGGAAAGGAATGTTGAAAGTCTTATTACATGAAGTATTAAAGTAATATAAAAGTACAGATTCAAACTTGGTAATGTGCTGCTCTTATCACACTTTCCTAATCAAACAGTTGCCAAGCTCATTTCAGCTGGCAGAGCTGAGGTGTGAGTGCTGCTCTGAGATGGTTGAAGGTGGTATAGGTGCCCTGTGTCTGTGCCTGGTGTCTGCTTTGCTCAGGAAGAGAAGAGAATCCCATTTGAAGCTGTATTTGTTCTTGTCCAGGACAACATATGTGGAATCAAAGGGGAGGGGAGAAATGTAGTGCTGTGGTTTGGGATTGAGGAAACCTGATTTCTGCATGTGTTGGTTTTCTGCTGTCTGGCACAGAGGTGTGAGTGTGCACATGGGGGTGTGTGTGTGTGTGTATATGAACACGTGCATGAGCAGTTCCTAGCATAGCTGGGCACTCAGCTCACCCTGTATAGCAGAGTGCTGCTTGCTGAGCTATTCCACAAGGATGTTCCCTGTTGCTGATTGTTGCTGAGACAGACATCTTTTCCTTGGAAAATACTTGAGCATCAGAACCTTTTATTAACCTTCCCACTCCAAAAAATGAACAAAGTCCACGAGACAAAAACAGTGTCAAAATGTGTGGCTGCTTGCCAGCTGCTGTGTGCTGGCAAAGTGTTTGTTCTGTTTGTGTTGAGGATTATATAGTCTAGCAGGGCCTATGTTCCCAGTCCTGAAATGCCAAAGGCATGAGCCATTTGCTTTAACAGAACTGGAGGTAGACAAGGTCTATGATTCCATTTAATCCCTGCAGTACCATATGACGAGAAGGGCTAAGCCACTTTGTCAGACTGGGATTATTGAGTTTATATTTTAACACCATATGTTTTTAGATTGGTGCTGGTGTTACATGTGTAACACCTTGTCCTGTTGTTGTGCCTACATGTAACACCTTGTCCTGTTGTTGTGCCTTTATTTAAAGCCTGCTGGATTATTTGTTACTGCTCTGATGAGAGGGGTTGGTGATAGAATTCATACAATGCACAGAAGTAGGAGTAAGATTAACCCACTTGAGTGTTATCATGGCAAGAGCTGTGTAGCAGGAAAAGCTGTGTGGAAAGGATCAGGTGTCATTGCCTTCCCTTGGACACAAGAGCCTTCTGGCTCTGGAGTTGGAGGGCCCAAAGAACCCAGGCTGAGTGCAGCACTTCCAGCACTGTGCTTTGCTGAGCATTAGTTGTGACCCTGCTGATCACATCTGATGATCAGGCTGAGGCTTTGACTTCATTGGCAGCTTTGCCACATGGAGCAGAGGTTTGTTTGAATGGAAATAAAGAAATAACTTGATTCTGTTCTCTGATGATTTGACTGTAAGCAGAGCTGGTTGCTGGAGTTATTGTCCTTATTTTGTGCAGCATGGTTTAAGTGTGCTGAATTCATAGCATTGCAGAGTTCTGTCTGGCTGTACTTCTGACAGGGAAAATACTGTCTGACAAACACCTACTGTGGCTGTGGCTGCTTGGGTCTGTGCTGCTTTGGAGCTGTCAGGGATGGCACGAGTTACTTCCCCACCTGCAAGGCTGCTCCTGACTTTCCTGCATTCCCTTACATCAGCTGAAAGATTTCTGTGGGTTTCTAAGGGAACTTTGCTTCTTTTGTATTTCCAGCAAGAGGAATTGGGAGTTTAAGATCTTTGACAAAAAACCACTGCGGGGAAGAGACAAAGTTTTTGCTGTCTTATAATACATGAAAATTTTTATTATCCTGTCTTAGCTATGTAGAAACTCCATGTGACTTGTGGAAAACTAACACAAGGTATGAGCAGACTGCAGTAAAATCTAATGTCAACAGTGTTAACTTCTTAGTATATTGTATCCAAGGAACACCTTAAGGGGGTGGAATGGGAGTAGCAAGATGCTTTTGCATTCATTAGTAAGTGGCAGTGGTGATAATGGAACTGTGACATTTGGGAACTGTTGCTATGCCAGAGCAAACACTCTTTTTCTGTTGGATTTGACTCCTGTTTTCTGAACGCCAGTTAGCTTGTCCTGAGCATTTGTGTCTTGGTTAATGTGTAAGAAACCTGGAGATCCTGTAACAAACCCATGTTATTCCCCTTGGACTCCTCTAATTGTATTTCACTAAGTTCCTTTGAAATAGTTCAAACTGCCCCAGTGCTGAGTCTGAACTGGGGCTGGATGTTGCACAAGTGGAGAGTGGCTGTCTGTCAGCCTGTGAAGACGTTTCCTGGCTGGAATTTCATCCTGCAGTCTAACAGATTAACAGGTACTGCTGACATCTGGTATTCAAAGGTTAAACTGGTGCATGGTGATGAAATCCAGATGTGTGGGAGTCACTCTGTCTGTGAGAAAACCCTGGTGAAGGGAGGGAGAATGGGGGAGCAGCCTGCACAGGCCCTGAAGGGCAGTTTGGTGTGGGGAACTTTGCATGGCAAACACAAGAATCATAGAGATAACAGAAGATATGTTTCATTAGAATATCCTGAAGTCACTCACAGGGTATTAGGTTACACCACATAACCCTTGCAGGTTCTGCCTGTACATGGCTGTGTTTAGGGAGAATCTCTGGTGGATCCGTTTGTGCCTGCTGAGCTGGACTTTGTCACTGAAGCTTTATTTTGGTGAGGAGTTGGCTTTTCAAACAGCTCTTTATGGCCAGTCCTAGCTCTTCTGAGGCCTCTTCCTAACACACAGATTAATTTCCTAAAGCCATGTTTGGTTATGTCTTGTGACTAAATAAGACAAGGTTTGTTGGGGCTTATTTAAAAAGTGCTAAATGCATCTATATTGAAAGGTACTGTTCAGGGCTCTGAGAGTGTAATTCTGAGGGGTAACTGCAGATAGGGCAGGGAAATCTTGGAGAAATCTGTCTTGAAGGCTGTTGAATTGGAACCAGATTTGGCATTTGTGGCCTTTTGTTTCCCATTTCATGTGCTAAGCTGCACAGATTGGTGCCAGCTTGAGCCTGCGACTGCTGCAGAAATCCTTCCTGGCCGTGTGGACGTTCTCCTTAGCTATCTGTAGTTAACACCTTGTCCTTTGGCTTCAGGCCAAAATATTTTCCGCTGCAGCTTTAAACTGATTAGGAGGTGCCAGCACAAAGATGCCTTTGTGCTTCAAAGTGGCTCTGGAAGGTTTGCTCAACAGTGCAGGAGAGGTTGAACACACTGTGGTTTGGCTGTGATTGGGAGAGATGAATCTTCAGCAACCTTTCCCTATTTCTTTTCCTCACAAGGTCTGTAACTTTCTACCTCCAGGTTCATGCTAGTTGGGAATTACTAGACTCCTGAGAGCAGTTATAATGCAAAAAACTTAACCTCTGGTGCTTCAGAATTTCTTAAACGTTTTGACATCAGGACTGGCAGTTTCGGGATGCTTTTGTTTCTACAGTGTGTCCTGTAGCTTAAGAGAGTTTCTAAAAACAAAGCACCAGCTCAGTGTTAGGATTTCTGATGGTATATTTCTCTCCTGAAAGAGACTTAAAGTTTGTGTCTCTACGGAGAAAAGTTTTTCTAATCCTAGTTTTCATTTATAAAACATTTTTGAATGTGTCATTTCACACACGGGTATATTTACATAACATTGGTTTCAAAGCCTTTTGCAACCGATCTTCCTATTTCTTCACCACCTTTTCCTGATCTGGAGAGAAGCTTAAGCCAGCCTTGCCAAGCATGAAGGTGAGGAGGCCTTACAGCCACTGTGGCAAGCTGGGCATGTTGACTAGGATACACATCTGACAGGACAGAATACTCTGTTCTGAATTTAAGGAGAAAACCCCATAAACTGAGCAGCTTCTAATGCTGCAAAGCACGTAGGAGAGCACTTGAGAAAAGCAGTGCTGACAAAGCTGTAGTATCCTGTTTTCTTGTGGACTCTTCCTAAACCAAGTCCTGCAGTAAAAGCAGTAGAAACCCAGTGCTCCTCTGGCACCAGTCTGTGGGTATGTGTGTCCTGGGCTTGTCATCAGCAGCTTGTGCTCTACCAGAAATATGTGCAGGTGCAATTTTCCTGTTTCTTTAGATGAGCTTATGCAAAACAAAAAAGCATAATATGGCTTAAGGGCTGAGCAACATGGAACTCGTCAGGTAAAACACTTCCAGCTTTCTCCCTGGCTCTCTGGAAAACTTCCCAGAGAACAGAGCTCTGCAGGAGCAATGTGGTGGTAAATGCCTACAGACCAGTGAAGCTTTTGGAATGAGGCAGAATGAGATGTCCTGTCCATCCAGTGTCTCCTGGTGCTTGGAATGTTTCCCTCTGGTCCTGTTGAGTTTAACATTGATTGTGCAGCTTTAAAATGAGAATTTTAAAGTGTCAGATCTCTGCTGCTTGGACAAGCACTGCACAAAAAAGCTTTTCCATAGCGTTTGAGATCACTAAGATGCACATCAGCTGCTGGGGGGAGAGGGAAATCCATGACCTAAAGAATAACCTTTGCACTCACTAACACTCTTACATCTAATATTGAAGTCACCACTGTCTGTTTGTCTGCACTCACCTATCCTATCCCTGTCTTGCTGTGGTTGTGCTGCTTTGTGTTCAGCAGCAGAAGAGACTGCAATGAGCAAGGCCTCATTTCTGCTAGTGTCTGATTTCACAATTGCCCTTTCCAAGTTGTTTTGTAAACAATTGTAGCTCTAAATAAAAAAAAAGAGAAGCTATTGCAACTCATTGAATTGCAAAACTCCTTCCCGTGAAACACCAGATGTCTAACCTGAAACTGGTTGGATGGGTTGTCAGGAGAGATAAGGGCACTCTCTTCTCTTTGATCATACATTTGAGGCAAACGTTGGGTTGCTCTTGCTGCCTGCAGAGCCAGTGTGGCAGCTGTCAGCTGTGAGGTACAGGGGCTGAGCTGCACTGTTAGTGACTCCAAAGTGCATTTCACACAAGAAATGTGTGAAAAAGTTTGCATTTTTGGAGGTGTTTTGCATTTCATAGTCCACCTGTTAGGTGCTTTGGTTTGGGGATTGGATTGTTTTTAGTGAACCAGCTGTTCAGCACAACCAACTTAATACTCTTAGGCACCTGAGGAACAGATTTGAGGCTATTTCTAAGGCCTTGCTTGATGTTGAGATCTAATGTTATTTTAATTCACCCTTAAATGGCCAAGTAACTGAGCTGGTCCCAGAAGTGACTGCAGAGTGTAGCTGTGTCAGGTACCTTCAGAAGTCATTCCTGTTTGTGTCAGCTGAATTGCTGCAGCTTTATCTGTAACCTTCAGTGCAAAAGATGCTCTGTCTTTAGCAACGAGCTAAGCCACAGCTTTGCCTCCCTCATGGTGAGAGTGTTTTTTAAACAAGAAAAGAACTGCAGCTGGGGCCATCAGGATGTGTTTCTCTAATCCATGCTGGTGAGCTGTTGTGCACACACAGGGTGTGGGTTTATAATGAATACCTTTGGGGTTTTGGTGGGCTAATTTAAATCTGTTTCTTTCCCTGTTGTCCTTTATCTATTAGAAGACCCAGTGCAGGGCTGCCTTAGGCCAGGGAAAGGACTGTTCTGTGCTCAGCAGCCCTCATGGCTGGGGAGGAGGAGTGAGTTAGTGTTCATGCTGCAGTGGTGTTAAACTGTTGCTCCAGAAATACCTTTTCTGTTCTATTTTGCTTAAAGCATCTGAAGGGTCCAAATATAACTGGTACATGTCTGGATATCTTAGCCTCCCAAACAAGTGTCTTCTGACTCACCAGCTCTCGCTGTGTCCTTCTTCCCTCAGCAATTGACAGCTCTCCTGAGCTGTCCCACTCGGGCAGCATTCCATGGCTCTTTCAGCTACAGATGGAGGTGTATAGCCAGTCCTTTGCTGCCTTGGCTGTACCGATGGCATCTTGATGTGATAATACAAAGAATTCCAACTTCTGAGTCCCAGGGTTGGTGCAAACCAGCTCTGCTTGATTTTACTCTCTGCAGGAAAAAAATATCTCTGCATTGTTGCACAAGTGCAAGTGTAAATCCAGGGCAGCTCAGACCTGAGTATGCTCAGGTTCATTCTCTTTTGGAGAGTTAGAGCATATGAACAGGAAAAATTGAGCCTTTGGTCAATAGGCATTTCAGATATCAGGTTTGCTACCACAGAACGTGTGCTCTCTTCCCTCAGAAGTAGTTGTGGGACTAACATGTTTCCTTTTTTTTTTTTTTTTTTTTTTAAAGTTCTAAGCCATTTGCATATTCCTGTGTGGAATTGTGGCTGTTCCAGCACTGCTTGCATGAACAGTTCTGCCTGAAGTGTTTGTGTGCAAGGTCTTTGTGCTCCACAGCCATTTTACCTACATGGCGTGGGGGCAGGGAGGAGAGTGCAGAGAGGAATAAGCTTTCTGGAGTTTGAATCCAGGTCACTTGGCTGCCTTCCAGCAGCCAGGCAATAATAGGCACACTGGCTGCTTTCCCTTTCTCATTCTTTCTTTTCCAATGATCTGAAACCTGAGGAGAGAAAACTAGCAAGTGGAATCACTCTGAATAAAATTAAAATGTTTCTAGGAATGTGCTCACT